GGGTTGATTTTTTAGTTGAATTTTTGACTTTTGATTAAGAACTTAACATTTTTATATGGAATTGATTCCTATAGCTTGAGCTGATTGTATCGAATTGTTTGTGGCTAGATCAAGATATTCAGAGGTTGATTCACGAGGCAAAGGCTTATTAGAGTAGAGATTTACACGATTTGCGGTAAGTAACACTTCTAAACTTGGTTTTGAGTGTACAAAACCTCGAATTTCGTGTTATGTGATAGCGTTGAGGTGATGCACATACTAGGTGACGAGCGTGTAGGCATGCACCGTAGGAATTGTGACTTGGTCGATTCCGTGGAATTGTATAGTTGAATAATCTTGTCGTTAGTTGTATATTCTTCATGTGTTAGAGAAATTGTGTTGCAAGTTATGTTAGAAATCATGCTTAGGCAACATGTTGGTACTATTAAGACCCACAGAGGTCGTGTTACATGTTGATTTATTCGCTTAATTTGAAATTATGTACTCAGTCATAGCTATTATTTGTATATCATATCTCAGTCTCTTTGCCATTTATTTATACATCATATCATCATTGTTTGGTCTGATTATCATGATTCTTATGAGCCCGAGAGACTGGAGAGATTGATGACTGAGTGAGGCCGAGAGACTGATTGAGAGAATATTTATGGGATCGGGTTGCACGCCGCAACATGTGTTATTGATTCATGCCATGATTGGCTTATTATAGCGCTTGGGCTAGATTTGCCCCTCCGGAGTATGCACACCCACAGTGAGCGCAGGTACCTACTGAGTGCGAGTGTCGAACGATTGGGAGGATTGAGTGACTGTGAAGATGGAGTGACTGTGAGGTATGAGTGACTGAGGATGGAGTGTATGGGAGGACTGAGTGATTGATACTCTCAGAGTATGCATATAATTTTATCTCTGTTTGTATTTCAGTTGGCATACTTAACTGACATGTAGATATCGAGACATATCATTTTTTTATTTCAGTTGTACTTGACATATCTTATCTGTTTGGGGTTATCTGTCAAATTTGGAAGCATGTTTACCTTTCTCTACTGTATTTTTGTAATTGAATTGTACCATGTGAAGCTCGTCACTGCTTTCAGCCCAATAGTTAGACTTGGTACTTACTAAGTTAGTGTGAGCTTGCCTAATATCGTGATAGGTGCCATCACGACAAGTTGAGTTTTGTGTCGTGACATATATTCAACAGTTCAGGAGCTTACATTTTTTTCTTTAATTTTTACTTTATGACTCAAATATGTTGTCTAACAATATTAACTAAATTTTTTCAATTATATACTCATTAATATGGGGGTACACGCGCAAAACGTGTACCCTAAGACTAGTAAAAAGAAATTGAGTACTAGTTAAATAAGAGCGACTAGATAAGTTACCCGTGAAATTTTTACACCTTTTTCTTGTTGTGTAATTGTATTGGATGAAGCCTGCAGCCATTTCGCTGCTATGATGAACATGTTATGGCCCGAATTGTGTAAAGTAACATTTTCCCCAAGATCATAGCTCTTCATGTCTATTTTATATATCTAGTTTCTCTGTATATGTATCTCCAAATTTTGAATAACTATGAAAGTTTGTTAAAACCTGTTTTTGAGTAAGAGAATAAAAATTAAAGAGTAAAAGCAACTTGGTAGACGTTGAGTTCGAAATGATTAATATCAACCGAACTTGCAAAAATGAACAAACATATTTAGTTAGTTACATGTGTAATTATGTTAATTTTGATTTATGAGGTACAAACAGATAATTTAGTATATGGCCACCCAAAGGTAATTCTTGAAAGAGAAGAGAAATTAGTGAAACTCTTTTAGCTTAAGAAACTGTATATTATTATACTTTGGGATTATTTTAACATACTTTTTGGCTTAAAAGCCATTTTTGTTTGACCAACTGAATTTGCCTTATTATCCCTTATATGTTTATGTAATTCCAAAAACAAAGTCTGTTGCTTTTCTTCCACTTCCTTCTTCTATCTTTGTGTGTATATTAGGACTGCTTATCGGGCGGATTGAGCAGTTATTTACTCTTAACGGTTTGGCTTATCGGTTATCGGCTTTTAAATGTATTAATCCGCTAGCCACCCGATAAGATATCGGACGGATTGGTATCGGTTTAGCTCTTATCGGGCAGTTTATCGGCCTAATTCAATCTATATTGCGTGTATTAATTGTTTGCTGACCATTGTGACTCAAATAAAATTCCTATGCTCAGCAGACTACATTCCAGTCTATAGAATACAATAGATGAGTCCATTACATCCCAAAGCAAACTACATTATAGATGAGTCCAGAATACATATGTCTTTCCTCCGCCCACAACTGCAAAGGAAAAGTCAATGCTCTCTGATTAATTCTGAAATGATAAAATTCTACTCTATATTCAAAGTGAGTCCAGAATACATACTTCAAAATGATTAATCCATAAGTGAGCAGACTACACAAAAATATTTGTCATGCAGCTAACGCCTAACAATGCTTCAGCTTCAAAGTTCAAACAATAGCTTAATCCATAAGTGAGTAGATCCCTGTAAAAAATATGCATACACTAAATTTCAGCATTAGGAAACGAAGTAGAGACTGTGATAAATACTACTGTTAACTAGTATGCATACACCTAAAGCCCATTAACAACGCCGGAAAATAAAATAAAAAACTAATCTCAATTAACTAATATTTAACAAGACTCCAACGGTCTAAACTTAATTGAAATGGGCAGCCATCCCTTTGGTTCATATATAAGTCTAATGAGCAATTTATTAAGAAAAACAGTCACATAAATGAAGATGGAACATCAGAAACAAATTCATTCATGATTTCAGCCATTTTTATAGAGAAATAGTACAGATTCAGGAATGTGTACCTAAAATACTTGACAAATAGAGCTTGAAATAACTGATAAAGGGCAGAAATGGAGATGAAGGAAGTTTAGCTACGATTTTGATAGCAAACAGCGGAAGAACAACAATGTTGACCTCAACTTCAATCCAAAAATAAATGAGAAACCCATAAATTCTCCAAGTAATACAACTGAAATCAGAAAATCTTTTTAATATTTTTTTTCGTTTTTCTTCTTCAGATCCGGATGTAGAAAAATGGGAATTCAGGGATTTTCTTTTAACTTTTTTCATAGGTGAGATGTGTGTGCATGATGGAGAATTCTCGGCTTCCTTTTGCGTGAAAGGGAATGGGTGAGTGAGGAAGGAGACCAGGCGGCTAGTGTTTTCAAAGGGGGATCCGTCTGTCTTTTTCTTAGGGTTTGGGAAAATGAGTATTTTAAAGAGAGGGGAGATCCGGTTGGGCCAGGCGGGTCATGGAAATTGAGCTTCTAAAGAGATGGGCTTGAAACAATTGCCAAATTAGTCACTTTAAATCCAAATTTTTACTAAAACCAATTTGTGTGGCTAAACTATTATATATATTTTTGGCGTTAGATAGAGTACTGGAAGTCGACGAGATAGAGTGTTGGTGGCTACTGGTTAAAATTTAGGCGTTAGGGTTTCTAAATGTCTAATAGTAAATTAGTAATAGAGAATAGAGATAGAGTACTGGAAGTGGAAGAAGGGTTTTTGATTATTTAATATATATATATATATATATATGGATAAAAATAAAAAATTATATATATTCTTAACGGGTTAACGGATTATTCGTTAAGAAAATTGAATAATCCGCCCCAAACCGATAAGCCGTTAATAAAAAAATTTCAATCTGTTCCCCGTCCGTTAAACCGTTAACCCGATACCAATAAGCCATTAAGCTTCGGTTTCGGTTCGGTTTTCGATTTCGGTTCGATTTTGAACACCCCTAGTGTATATATTGTCAACAATATTGATGTATCAATGATGTAAGGGACTAAAAACACAATTTTTATTTGCATAATTATATAGTTTAAATTGCTTAAAAACTAGATCAATAGAATATGAATAAGGTGGTCCACAAATTATTTATGAAAATTTATATTCAGATAATGGTAGACTGATGCTAACAAAACATGGATTTTTCATTCAATAAGTTGCAAAACTAGAAATCATCAATAAGAGATAGTCCTTCATTAGTTTGAGGCAACATTTATTTACCTTTTTTAACATGTCTGACTAGAATTTTATAAATTAAAGTGAATTGACACAAATAAACTTGTATTAAAATTATTTTGAAATTAAAAATATTGCAATAATAAATTTATTTTTAGTGTTAGCCGCTTTAAGGTCATTTAAGTTATTTTTTTTAAACTATAAAAGGTACTTATTAGTTATTAGCACTCGTATACCAAACAGACAAACACATCAAATACTTATTTTCAGTTTTACTTTTAACAAAATACGTAACTGCTTCATTTTAAATTAAGCTTCAATACTTTAAAGTGCTTTTAAGCCCAAATGTTTAACAACTACTTATATTCAGCTAATCCAAGAACGAAAATCCCATCGAAAATTTATGTTGACCCAACATTGTATGAAGGATTTTGCCATAGGAATCGATCTTTAAATATAGAAAAATTATTTCAAATAGTCGTACAGCTAATCTCTTAATCTAAAAATAGCCGGGGATGTATGTGTATATATATGTGTGTGTGTGTATAATCATGTATACCGGCTAGAATAAGTAAAGCTATTTATGTAACAATCCCGAATATAAGTGCAACTACTCTTAGTTATACCTTTCTTGGCGTTTTTGTTAAGATGAAGTTGCAAATTACTTATGGGTTTTCTCACTTACCCCAGACTTTAACATTTTTCATCATTAAAATTTGTACACTTGAGATCAAAATTATTTAAAAACAAAGAGATAACAAAAACAAGGGGCAAAATGGAATGACCAATTACCATAGCCAAGTCGGAAGAAAAACTCCAAGGAAAAACAAAGCGTGCAGACAGTTTGAAAATCTGAAGGATATACTGAAGAAGTAGTGCAGTTGTTCAAACAATTAAAATTACAATTCCGAATCTAATGTCTAATGCCTAAACTCCCTCGACCCAATTTTTATTTAATTCCAATACCAGATTATAAAATCTAGAACCGGTAGAATGAAACAATTGACATGGACAATATGCAATTTTTCAAAGAACAAAACGACGATATCGAAATGACTAAGTCTAGTTGGCTTCTATTTACTGTAAGTCCTACTGCTAATTTCACTTCCAATTTCACTCCAATTATCAATACTGTGGATGTTCATGAGTTTCCTTTAAGATTTACGACCAACAAACTTTTTTACTCCAATGAACGGTTTCGACTTTGGTAAAGCATGCTTAAGTTCTACACAAAATTCTAAGCATCACTATGCTTCAAGTTGCAGTCCAAATACAATGTATTTAAATTCATTATTTTGTATTCTCTATCAATCGAAATAAATAACTCGCTCGTAATCCTTGTAGAAATTCTTGTTTTCTACATAACTACATTTGATGTAATCAATTTGATTCTTATGATTGCTTGTGAAGTAATAATTAATTTTCTATTGATTTATGAACTTTTAAAGGGTATTATTGTCCTTCAATTGTAGAGGGTTATTTGCTTTGAAGCTTTCCACTTTTATAATAGTACAAAGTCAATTTACCAAGGACAACAAGGATTTTTAGAGTATATAGTGTAAGTCTATAAGAAACTTTTTTTTTTTTGGTGGTAAACACCCCCTAAATTTGGACAAGCAAAAGTAAGACATATTATCTCGTAAAAAATAAAAATGAGAGCAAGGAGAAGCCCTTGGTAAAAATATCCGCTGATTATAAGGGCGTAGAAATATATTGAACTATAATATCTCCCTGGACAATCTTATCGCGTGCTCTGATACCATATATATAGTAATATTTTGCATAAGATTATAGCTCTTCACTTGGGCTTCCTTTATATAATAGACAATCGTACAAATTCAAGTCACCAAAAATAACAAGGACTCATTTAGAGTATAAAGTGTGAGTCTAAAAGAATTTCTTTTATGTGCTAATATAAATTGTCATAATAATATCAGTGATGTATAACGATGTCGTAATTGTGCTCCTCGTAAAGAAAAAACTTTACGAAAAATCATTTTTAACCTTCATTTTTCGGATATGTAAAATAAAATTTATAGTAAAGCGAATAATTAATACAATTATTCTCTCTGTCCTATATTATATGATGATATTTGATTGGGCACGGAATTTAAAAAGAATAATTTTTGAAACTTGTGGTCAAAAAAGACATAGACATTAAGGGTAAAATAATAAGTCTAAAGTTAATTTTCTTAAAAATAAAAAGGTGTATCAATTTTAGGCTGATAAACAGGAAAGAGTATTACATGAACGAAAGATAGTGTTGTCCTTCTAAACTTGAGGCCCAATTGTATAATTTTGTAATATCTAAAAAATTTGAGTTTATGCCCAGTTATTCCTTTTACATTGTATCTACATTTTTTTACTATAATCTGGCCCACTTGTACATATAAGGATCTTTCGATATTTTTAGATATGGCTGGTCATATTAGAAACATATGAAATAAAATAATATTCTTTCTCTATTTTCTTCTCTCGTTTTTATCTAGGGTTTCGTTCAAATTCTCATCAATTCCTGGTCGATTTCAACCTTGACATGGTGTCAGAGCCAAATATTAGATCTGTTTTGTTCGACGCTTTCGTCTGATGGTAGCCATGCTCAAAGTTTTGTTAGTTTCTATGTTCAAAGTTCCTCGTCATGACATTCGAAGTTTTGGGGAGTTTTGTACAATTTTCTATTAGAAGGACTTAATTCTTTATGTTGCGAGGAAGTGCAGTAATATTCTTCTAATTTACTCTATATTCTCATAGTCGACTGTGTATTGTTATGGTCAAGCATCGATTTGACGATTTCTTCTGGTTCATGGTAGAAAGTACTGTATGAAATTGTGATTAATTGAAATTTACTATTGTTATGGGTAGGTTTGTGCCAAATTCTGAGGTTGACAGTAAATTTTCAACCTCAACTACTGGTTTTACTGAATTCACCTTAAATTCATCACACCCCTTTTATGTGCAATTTTCTGATAGTCACGATAGTCAATTAGTTAAAATATCTTTCAATGGGACCGGCTTTGTGTTATGACGTAGTAGTATGTTGACTTCCTTTTCAGCAAAGAACAAATTAGGTCTTGTCACTGGTATAATTCTCCAATCACCTCCTGGGTCTCCATATTTTCTTTATTGGGAGAGATGTAATGACATGGTGAAGTCATGGATTACTAACTCCTTAACTAGAGAAATTGTTATAAGTGTCATGTATTTTGAATTCAGCTTATGTTGGGCCCACATGTTCTTGTAGTGCATTTTCTATATCCATTGAAGATCAACATCTCTTTTAATTTCTCAGTGGTCTTAATGAATCTTACTCAATAGATAAAAGCAAAATTCTTATGATGTCTCCATACCCAATAATCAGTAAAGTCTATTCACTCCTCCAACAAGATTAAAGTTAGAAGGAGACTCAAACTGTGCCTTCAGGATTTTTTGCTAATTCAACATCATTTTTTATATCCTCTAACTACCAATAGCCTAATAAAACTTGTACTCATAGGGTTGCTTTTGAACCCAAGAAGTCTTCAGCTTCAACTTAAATGTCCTGCAAGTATTGCAAAACAAAACTGGACATACGATAGAGAAGTGTTACATGTTGCATGGGTTTTCCCAGATTTTAATTTCACAAAGAATAAGAAATCTGATGCTTGCGTTCAAATGGAGGGAATTTCCCATGACAAACTCATCCCTTCCACTCCTATATTCAATAACTCTTCGGCACATGGTTTCAGAATCCATAGCAAAAAGGAGAGGAAAGATTGGAGTGCTTCCCCCCCCTCCCCCCAACCAATAATGCAAGTAGTAGTCTAGCATAGAAAGATTTTTACATAACCACTTTAGCAAAAATCGGCACCGACGGTGTTTGTGATTTTCCAAAACTAATAGATGTGTTAATATTTATGCAGCAATATCATAGAATACTACAATACTACCAAGTCTTTGCGTGGCCCAGCTCATCATCATCTTCTTTGAAAGCTTGAAATGCTTCCCCGTTCAGCTTGAGGGGGGAGTGTTGGCCTTCTAAGGCCCAATTGTATATTTTTATAATAGCTAGAATATTTATTTGTATAGTTTAGGCCCAATTATTCTTTTTATATTGCATATGTAGTTTTTACTATGACTCGATCCACTTGTACATATAAGGGTATTCTGATATTTCTAGAGACAACTTGTCATATTATAAACAGATGAAACAAAATAATATTCTT